GGTTAGTACCAAAGGATTTCAATTTTACTTGACTTTTTACTTTCTTTTTTATTGCTTCTTTCCCCTCCATGACTCCACCATTCACTATCTGCTATGCTGTATTACATGTATTTTTGTTGCAAATTTTGAGGAGACTTATAGTTCTTTGTAAAATGAATGATACTCCTGCATATATTTGTCACCATTTCATTCAGACTTCATGGGTATTAGGAGAGACACCCAGAAGCCCCGCTTTGTGATTCATTTAGAAAAGAATAATACAAAGAACTAGATGCATTTAAAACTTGTAGAAGAGCCAGGGGAAGTCAGGGAAGGAAGGTGAAGGGAAGCCTGGTTGCTGTTTGCTCTCAGATACATGAAGATGCAGAGACTCCAGGAAGCTGCTGTTAATGATCACATCTGCTTCTTGACCTGGTGTGGATGATTCACAGAGAGATGTCTGGGAGTCAAAATCTGATAACTGCCGAAACCCACACTTCTGCCCGCTTCAGCAGATGAGCAGTGCTCCAGCTTCTCTTGCTCTGGAGCCCCCTAATTCACAGGCAAGCACATCTGGTTGTCAGCCTTTGGCAAGACCTCTGCTGGTGAGAATGTTGGGGAAGGCAGTTTCTAGGCTTCTAGCCCCAGTGATAAGAGTGGTGAGCACACCAGACAAGCTGGCACACATTAAGAAACAACTTCAAGGGCTTAAAGGAAAAAAGCTACTAAGGAGTGAAGTAGCTACACTGCTTAGCTTCCTGGCTGTTGTAAGGTTCCTAGATCCCTAAGTGTGTAGGGTGCATCAGTGATCTGTCCTCATCAACAGCACTTTAGCAATTGGCTGTCCCAGCATCCTCTGTTCTTAGGGTTTTTCTGACTATGCACTCTTGTTCATCAGAATTTTGTTTTCCTGTGTAAGGTGGTGGTGGGTCTAAAGATTTCGATAAGTGATTTGTTTCCAGGGCTAGTTCCTGAACTGTAAGATATTACTGTCTTATTATCTACTCCTGTGAAATGAACTACATACACTAAAATTCAGTGTCTCAAAGTAACAAGTCCTAGTTACCATAAATATTGACTTATGCATCCAGGCAGGGCACAGCTTGGCTCTTCTACATCCCAGGTGTTATATGGGTCTCTCATTCAGTTTCATCAGTCAGTGGCTGAACAAGAAGACCCACAAGTGTCTGCCCTTCATGCCATAGTACATAGCTTGTCTCCATCAACGTGGCTAAATGAGTCTTCCAAACATCACAATCTCAGGTAATGGGGCTCCTTGCACTGCGTTTTAGATTTGTGCCTAACCATGTCCATGTGTCACTGCCAATGTCAATCAAATATCATTAAAATTTAGTATTTTTAAATGTCTTCATATACATAAAAACAGACCTACTGCTTTTACACATTATATAGCCAGTCATTCATGTACCTTTTCATATCTATCTCATTGTTGCTTCTGGAGTTCTCCCACTAACTCCATAACCAAATCTTTTCCAGCTTTCCATAACACTGATGCCAAGAGCTTGTTCCCCTTTGTGTCCTCTTCCCATTGACTTCCTATATCAAACACTCAACAGTGCTTAGTTTTGTTCCACACATCAGTAGGGTTCTGAGTGAGATTTATAGTAAACAAACTTAAAACTAAGCATTGGGAGACCCCAGGACTCATCACCGGATAAATAAAGCAGGTTTCCTCTTCTGAACATGTTGGTAGCTACAGGTTTACATGTATAGATGTACACAGCTACTTGGACACTCTCACCCTTCTAAAAACATTGTTAGGGAGCAAAATGCTAATAGTCCTGTGTTACACCATGAAGTAAAAGTTTGAGAGAAATTAAAACTTAGAGGTGGCAGGGGTGTGCCTTGTCATCTTTGTATTGCCAGGGTTCTACCACAGGGGTTGGAGAACAGCAGGCAGTTGCATAAATATTCGCTGTTCTAAAGGCTGTTTCTTCACATTCTACCTGCCCAAGAAGCTGAAATCTACAACTTGCTTTGCAAGTACTTCTTAAGAAATTCTGGGGGCACACCTTCGGTATTTTTTATGACTCGAAAGTCAAACTCCAACCATCACAGATAATAGTAGAAAGTAAAGCAAAAAGAAAACAGATTTGACATTGGACTTAGAAGTCATCTAGCCTGTTCATTTAGCACACATTAATTTCCTTCTAGTTGTTAGAAAGCCAATGTGAGAGTGAAAAGTGGAAGGGGCACTTGGGAAAGTAGGGTAGGGCAGAAGGCAGATGCAGGATCTGTGGTCACCTGCCAGGCAGCTCCTGCTCGGGATGATGCTTACACTGGCACCAGAAGAAAAGGTGGAGGAGCCCAGCTGTCCTTTTAATCACAGCGTAGCTGCTGTGAGCACAGCCCAGCCACCTGGGCTGCCTGCAGACTCTGATAGCTTAGGCAGAAGCAAGGAAGAAACTGATAATGAAGTAGCCCTGGGAAGCCTGAGGGTTGCCCAGAGCCTCCCTTCTGGGCAAGTCTTGTGCCAGATGTGAAAATGTCCCTCAGGGGCCTGAGCAATAGCTAAGGCCAGCCTCACCCTTTCCCCAGCTTGTCAAATTTGACACCATTTCTGTCTAGCTTCCCTCCATTTCAAAAGGGGAGACTAAGCTGTCTGCTTACAGGACAAGAGTCCTACACAACTTTCTAGCTAGGGTTTTGAAATAAGCACCAGAGGCAGTATGCACAATACCGAGAAGAAGTAGAAACAGGGAATCTTGCTGTGTAGGTAGAGACCTGGAAGGAGCCTGGGATCCAACTGGATCTATTTGTTCCTTTTCATTTCAGGCTGCTTACTGCTCATATTGTTTTGACCAAGACACTTTCTCCCCAAAAGGTACAAGCTAGAACTGTATAGCCACTCATTTCTGTTCACTCACACACCCTGGGCTCCCTGCTGGTGGGGCACTCATCCTGGAAGCAACCCCACAAGGCTTGTTCTAGGGCAGCAGCTTGAAGGCTTCTACCATGCACGCTAGATAGTGGCCTGTCCTGGGACGTTTGAAGCTCCATTAAACATAGCCAAACCCATCTATCAGTTCTTTCCAGAAAGAACTGCAGATTTTTCTAAAGTTCACTAAGCCACGGTCATCTTCTAAACAGAACCCCAGTTCCTCCTGTGGAAGCACAAAGGGCAGGCTATAGTATCTTTCATGCTTTCAGCCCTGTCTTCTGTGATCATGTGGTCTCCTAATGGACAGGGTTGAGGCCAACTGAGGCCAGGAAAATCAGCAGAAGGGAGAAGTCCCAGATCTGTTTTCTACCTTGAAAGATCTTTCCCAGCACTGGGATGCATATATGCTAAACAAGAACTTACCCAAGGGATCCACAACTCTCTCCTGCCTCTTGGCATCCAGAAAGTATCTCTGTCCACCATTCTAAAGGCACGCCCAACTTCCTAACTTGCTCTCTAACTTGCTTCCTACTATCCTATACTCCACCCCCTCTCACCCTCCCCCAACCCCATCCCACTGGACCTCTTCCTTTACAGCTACTAGCTAGTATTTTGGCCAGCTGGAGGAGTGAGGCTTGGTGACCTTCATGTAGTGATGATGCTCTGCAGATCCACTTAGCTGGAAGGGTCAAGAATAAAAACATGGAGAATTTACCAGGCTTTACAGGAACCAAGGAAATAAATAAAAGGACCCCATGCCATCATTCTTTGTGCCATATCTACTTGGGGCAAGTAAGCTAAACATGATTGTCTAAGTGTCCACACACTCTCCAGGCTATTTAGAGACAGAATGGGCTGGAAACCATCTCTCCTGTTTCCTAGGGTCCTGTTGCAAGCAATGATAAAAATTTGGAGAAAATGACTTCATCTGTTTCCCCCACTCATTCCAAGATGGGGAGAGAGAGCAGAAGAGTGGATATATTGAGAGACTCACCTCAGAATTAAAATGACTTTCAAAACAATTTGACTAATGCTTTGTTATGATCAAAAACCTCTCCAAATTCCAGGGTTTTCCCAGAAGCTTGAAAGTGTAAAACTAGTACCCCTTTTATCATGTGTAACTGTTCAATAATAAGTGAACAGAAGTGGCTATCCATCTTCACAGTCAGCTGCCTATTGTCAGCAATAAAGCCACAGCATCAGTGGTCATTCTACAGGGTGGTATACCTCTTAAGCATCTGTCTGGCCACTGCCCCTGGCCTTTGGAAGATTCAGACATATTAAAGCTCTTGCTGTTGACTAATAGGCCTGTTTCATGTTGGATGTAAATCAGAGAAAAAGTAAGAAGCTTGAACTAACTGGAACATGAATTCAGAAACTACTGAGATAGCGTCACTTAAGGTTCCATTCTGCAAGCATAGATACAGGTTTTGCTCTGACACAGCACAATTTACTGGTGATTTTTATAGTGAGATGCCCATCTTGATTTATTCTGAAATTCAGTTATAGTATTGCTGATCCAACTTATTTGGAATTCTGTAACCAGCTTTCTTCACACTTGTTGAGGGCCTAGGGGAACCCATTAATATTCAGCGTATGAAATAGAGTAGATCTCTTTTGGTTTTGGTTTTGGTTTTGGTTTTGGTTTTGGTTTTGGTTTTGGTTTTGGTTTCCCAAAGATGAGCCTTAGGAATGCCACAATTCCTGGAAAAAAATTAAGCAATAGGCCACTGATGGTCATTTTTTAAACAAGATGAACCGAAAGTTTTGTCATGTCACATTTCATTGAAACATTACAGATCCTTCTTTATTTCCGTATTCTGAATCATGTCCTTCACAACTGTTTTACACTCGATACATTAGGTCAAAAACTTCTGACCTAATATGAACTTTGAACTAACATGGCAGCAGTATTCTACACTTCTGAGTTATGGATGGATTTATGGGAGACATCTTCAGAAAACGTCACTGAGAAAAGTTTAAAGCGGGGGCAAGTGTGTGTGAGCAAAGCTGGGCCTATGCTTGGAGATGCAAAAGAGAACACGAGGCAGGCATACAAAGTGAGGCTCTGTTCCATGGTGGGCCACCCTTCATGCAGTGGCCACCACAGCATACTCACCAGTTGTGTATATTTGTCGAAAGCTGCATGGTAGTTTTTGAGTTTTGTTCCTGGTGGGTTGAAGTATCCTTTCCCTGCTCAAATATACAGCTCTGGTTCAGTGTTTCCAACCACAAAATGCTAAACAGACACCTTAAAAAACAAACACTGGCATTCACTTCTCTTCTCTCTTTGTCTCTCTCTGGGATGTTCCCATTCTTTTTGGTGTCCACCCCAGTAAATCTCTTCCTCTGGATATCATAACGATCACTTCTTTTTGTTTACAAATGATCAGTGGAATGACTGACTGGGGTGGCTTCTCAGGGGCCTGTGAAAGCAGTAGGCCTTAAATTTGATTTCAGAAGAATTTCTATCTACGCTTCAGTTTCATCTAGGAAAGACCGTCTCTGGATCTGGGGAATCAAAACTCAGAGATTCGAGTGCAACTCTCAGCAAGTCTCCAATACATACCACATGATGATCTTAAAGCGACATCTTTCCTTCTATGGGACAGGGTCACTGGCTGGTAGAAACCAGAAGAGACACTGAACTGTGTGTGTTCCTGGACAGCTAGGGAGGAGGTGGTGGCAACTTGGTAGCCCACTGTCACAGAAGCACTTAGGGAGTCTTCCAGTCTCCCTTGGTTTGTCACAACTGTGCAAGCAAGGACAAAGTGGTGCTTCCAATCTCTACTCCACTGCCAATCTCCCGGGCTTCACACTCATCTATCATTTGAATGGAGAACTTAAGATTCTTGCACCGATTCACATAATTGTAGTCATGTATCAGACAACGTGCAGGCTTTTCTTTTCATTTTTTCAAATAAAAAAAATGTGATGACATAAATATGACACAAACTTTTTCATCTCGCAAAACTGAAATTCTGCACCCATGAAACAACTGCCTAGTCTTCCTCCCCACAGTGTCTATTCCAACATTCTGTCTCTAAATTGTCTATTTGTGACTTGTTGTAGAAGTAGAAGAGAACGGCATCTTTAAGGGTCACCCATGTTGTGTCACCTCTCAGGCTCTCTACCTTTTACAGACTCAATAACATCCCACTGGATGTATGTGGCACATTTAAAACTTCACATCCATGCCCACAGACACTGGGGGGGGGGGGGGGCTCCTGTAAATATTACTGCTGTTTGCATGGGTACAAATATGTGTGAAATTCCCTGTTTGGGGTTCTTTGAGATACACAGCCTGAAGTGGAAGAGTGTCACATGGTAATTGTCTGAGGTCATGCTGAAGGGATTCGCATACTACTGTTTCCCAACAGCCCTCTGCTCAACTGCTGTGAGGCGGCCACTCTAAGATTTGCATCTAGGAACAGAGCAAAGTCAGCTAGCCTTAATTCATAGAAGTGTCCTACACCCACCCCCCTTTTCCAGGTGATGGAAGTCAGAAGTTCAGTCAGTTGTAACAAACTGAAGGAGACTGGATTCGTCCTCAAGAGCTTTTGTGACTCATCACAGTGGACTAATGAGGTCTTGTCACTTCCTTCCATTGTCAGGGGGAAGGAAGGGACAAAGTGGCTCCCAGGTGTTCTGAGATGTCCTGTGTGCTTGAGACTTCAGGAGACATCTCAAGCACACATCTGTCTTGCCCCACCCCCTGCCCCCGCCCTATTCTTTCCATAGATTGTGCTCAGGTTCTGATGTTGGGCTTCCAAGAACTCTGGGCCTCTGGGACTCATCTCTACAGAAGCCTTGGAACTGCTGTTCCAATACCAGTCGTCTTTCCTAGGATCTGAAGATGCTCTCGGCAAAGGTTTCTGGATACATATTTACGCTCATGCTTGCATGTTCATGTCCAAGAGGGAAAATGTGGACATTAATTGCTGCCTCTGTTGGGAACTCAGCCTGTGCCAGATTAGCCTGGAAGTGTGCTTCCTGAACTTAGGAAGCCCACGGCATTATACAATCTACAGTGGGTACCAGAACTTTACTGAGAGCCCAGTTAGCTGGACATAAACCAACGTGAGATCAATACTAGGTTTTCACAGAAAAGGAATGAAGAAGCCAGGCTAGCCCCACCCCTTCACATTTCCACCTAAAGAAAAACAAAATCAAATCTTGGAAGAAAGCAGACCTCTTGGATGTTATGTAACACTCAGCTCTGGGTGGAAGGACTAAAAGCTCAGGCCCTTGCTTCTGGCCTCAGTTTCTTTCTCTACTAAGGGGGGAAGGAGCAAATAACCTTGGCTGGCAATGAAACATTCCTAAACAAGCAAATAAAACCCTTCTAAACTGCTAATCACCTAACATAGAGAGAAGGCAACTTCAAAAGACTTAGCCCAATGCTTAGGGTTATGGGAACAAGTCCAACTCATACCTCCTATGCATCGTCACTGAGCTGATGGCCTCTGGTCCATCATCTCCCCCAGGGCTACCTGTCTTCTGGCTCGCTCTCCCTTTTCTCCTCCTACATGGACCTTCCCAGCTCCCTCTGCCTGAAGATCACTTAGCACAAGTGTTTGCAATGCCCTTTCTTGCTTTTCATGTTTCTGCCTCCTCCTCCTCTAAACTCGATCCAGAACAATTTCTTTTGTACCACCCACAAAGGCAGGCACACTGCTAGGCACATGTCCCAGACACATGGTTGATGCTAGCTGAAGGAGGCGGAGATATCTGGACTAGACCAACCTGCTTTCTTGGAAGCATTCACCCTTTCCAAGCAACCACCTCGTGATCATCCAAGTGGCATCTCGGGCAGAGCAGTGTGTGGTTAGCAGCTCCTGGAGCCCTGGCCTGTAGAATACGGGAAGCAGGCGTGCACGGCGTGCACAGCCATTCCAATAATAGCTTCAGATGGGTGAATGCCGTGACTCACGTCCCCAGTGCATGCATGTCTGTCTCAGAGGCAGAGGACTGTGGGCTGTGGGCTGTGGGCGGGACGCTTTCTCTGTTCAGTGTCGGGGGAGGGGAGTGTCACCTGGGAAGATCAGGAAATGGGCAGAGTGCACACTGGAGCCTTGGAGCTTGAAGGGTACAAGGTCAGCAGCACTGACTCACCCAGGAAGGCAAGCGGGCAGTGACCAAATATGAAATAAGTTGCCTGTCAGGGAAGCCCTTAGAGAAACAGGAAGTGGGATCAGCTGGTAGAAAGCTCAGAAAAGAAAAGGCCAGTTGACTTTGTGCTTTTGTTCTCTGTTCTCACTGTTTATCCAGAGGAGCATCTGCTGAGCATACCACAGCAGCACTGAGTCACCCCCACCCTCTGGTTGGAGAGTGGTACATTCTGTCTGAGCCTGTAGATGGGTAGAATCCTAGTGAGTGTGGAAGAGGTGTAGGATTTGGGATGGGGGGGGGGGTCTCATCAGTAGTCTCTTTCCCAGGCCCATTGCTGTAGCTGACATGTATTGACTGAACCCTCGGCCTCAGTTTTGTAGATAGTACCTAGGCAAAAGGGTACTAGCTGAGCAGGGCACTGTGCTTCCAAAAGACATCAGCCTAGGAACCAATGTGACCTATGCCAGACCAAGAGGCCTACTCTAAAGTCCACTCCCAGGTGGATGGCTCTTCCTAATAGCATGCCAGCCACAGTTCTGCCTTCTGCTTTCTGACATTCCAGACTTAAGAATTTTGTGGGCAGTGTTTCTACCAATTACTATAATAAACCCAGGAGAAAGGTTGATTTGTCTAAAGAAGACAGTGGAAGCACACAGGGCTACTTGATACTACTGCTGTGTGCATCAGATGTGAAATTTGTACCTAGACCATGCTGCCTCCCAGCACAGCACAATCTTCCTATAGGCATAGTTGATGTTGATTATTTAAATCTTGGGTAGCTGAGAATGCCCTGTGTTCTCAGAGGAGGCTTATTGGTGGACAAGGAATGGCAATTTGTTGGGGAATTCTTCAGAAGTTGTACCAACCCTCATGGCCAAACTGCCCCAGGACTTACTTCCAGTCAAGATAAAATCTAAGTGTTCCTTGGCTGAGAAGAAGGTCTGCACAGATGTTTCCCAGACATTGCAAGAGAAGACAAAAGCATCTCTATTGATGACCCCAACTGGCCACCTCTCCCAATCCTTCAGTGCCCCTCGGGTGGGTTATTCTGCATACTGAGGATTATATAGGAATCTTCAGGCACTAGGCTGTAGATTATCTGCCATTCAAATGGGCCCTAGTTCACAGAGGGGCTGTAAACTTCAGCCCAGAAACTCTTCAGCACCTAAACCTGGGGCTGGCATGCTAACAGGTTCCCCAGATAATTCCAGAAGCAGGAGTTCCAAGAACCATTCTTCCTGCAATACCACCATGGGCCTTTCATGCCAAGAGATGTAAGCCATCATCCCAGCTGTATAAATTGAGCAAGACTGACCTGAAAAATCCCCTTTTTGAATAGGTATCTTGGTGTCCTGGTGTCTTGACTGACATCCACATAGTTTCAAAATAGCTTTGCCTCTCAAAAGGACCTGGAAACTTCCTTGCAGTAGCCCCAGTTAGGGGCTCTGACAGAGGAGGGAGTACCTGGGATCACAAGAATTGCCTGGAAGAAAAACATAAAGAGGGACTATAAAACTTCAAGTGACCTGACCCAGATTTGGGGATTCAAAATTTGCATAGAATGAGATGTTTTATGTATATAAAGACAAAGATTTGAGAAATGAGAGTGGATAGGGATTTGTATTTCACATGGACAGCTTACATCTTTAAATTTAGGCAAGAAAGATTATTCAGGCCAGACTGTGAAGTACTTCCCCAAATTCCCCTCTTGGTCCCCCTCCATCACACAAAAGTAGGCAGCAGGAGCTGGGTGGTTATTTGAAACACATCACAAAAGCATGTGTGTGGCCTAGAAATGTCTTTTCGATCTGGCAGAAACTTCCTTCAATAGCTTCCTTTGGAAGTACCTCAGTCTCATTGTCATCTGCCATCTTGGGCAGGGCTGCCCACAATCCTGGCATGCAGCTATGGAAGTGAAGACAGGTCAGAGGGATGTGAGCTCTGAAGAGGCACCCAAGGAGGTATGGGTGTAGGTTCACAGACTGAAGGTCAGTTTTGTTTACTCTTGCTGTGGTTTAATGTAAGCCAATATGTTTGAACACTTAGTCCCCAGTGTTTGTTCTGTTTTGGAAGGTTGTGGAACCTTTAGGTGAACCTTGACTGGAGGAAGTGTGTCACTGGGTGGATGGGTGGGATCTTGAGGTTTTACGTCCTGGCCCCATTTCCTGTGCCCTCTCTACATTCTGTTCCACCAAGCTGTGAGGAGGTGAGGAGCCCCAGCCACACACCCCTGTCACCATGGAGTTGCCTGCTCTGTGCCTTGCCCTTACACACAGACAATGTTCCCTCAAACTGTGATCCCAAAGTAACTCTCCTTTTCTTAAGTTTCCTTTGTTTGGTATTTTGTCACACAATGAGAAAAGTAGCATCGGTATCCCTTCATCTTTACAAATGGATCCCACTGTCACTGTGTAGCCCACCAAAGTCATAGGCACTCCCCAGTTTTGCCTCATTTACTTAGAGTTAGTACTTTCTTATTACAAGTCAACAGCTGAACACCACATCTCAAAGGGATGGAGGTCTATATATCCAAGATGCACAATGTGTTCTATGCCTACAGGTTTCTATTCCTCTATCAACATCCTTGGGTCCTTTTAAATATCTACCACTTTGAACAATTCCCAGAACTGCACAGAGAAGAGCTACAATGGGCTGGGATTCACTCCTCTCAAGAAGTTGCTTTGAGGTTGGACTGAAGCCACTGTCGACAGATCTCTTCTGGCAAAACAAGCAGCCCAGACCTTGACTATCTTGCAATTCACTGCATTTCATAGATGGGATTTGTTTGGTCACAATGGGCAGAAGTAAGTGTAATTAGGTTCTTTCTACTTTCTCCTTGCTACAACATCACAGAACACATTAGAAACAAAAGTAGAGACTGAAACTGGGCAACCTCTTTGGGCCTCAATTCACTCAAATGTAGAACAAAGCATCAGATGACAGAAGTTCCCATCTGGCTCTTAAGTTGTACAGTCCTATCATGTCATTACTGTATAATCTGGCCTACATTTAAATGTATGTAGATGTAAGGAATTATCATATAGTCATCTAACTTACATGAGTTTGACTTTACAAGTTGTTTCTTTTATTTAGTTAAAAATAGCAGAAAGTTACATTTTACATGTATACATACATTGCATATCCATACAATTATGGTACCAAACCTTACATACCTAATGTATGGGTGATTTAAAGGTTTCCTAGCTTATCTTTATCACAGCCAACAGTAGACCTAAACTCACAAAAGGTGGGATGCTCCTGTAATGTATTGTGTGTTGCCCAGGAGATGATGGACTATAGAGAAAAGCATGTGGCTCTCAGAAAGACTGACCTGGGTTTGAATGCTGCAGTGGAAATCTTAGGTTGGTCATGCATTAATTGTGTGATCTTAGACAAGGTATTTAAGTTTGTCTAGCTTCTTTATCAGTGGATAGGAAGGAAGACTAATGCCCACTTTAAGATGACTAGGTTAAAGGTGCAGAGACCCACAGCCAAACATTAGGTAGATCTCAGGAAATCTTGTGGAAGAGGGGGAGGAAGGATTGTAGGACACAGTGATGTTAAGGACACCACAGGAAAACCCATATAACCAACTAACCTGGTCTCATAGGGGCTCACAGAGACTGAATAGATAACCAGGGAGCCTGCATGGGACTGGCCTAGGTAGGCCCTCCGTATATATGTTTAGTTGTGTAACTTGGTCTTTGTGTGAGACTCCTAACAGTGGGAACAGGGGCTGTCTCTGAATCTGTTGCCTGCTTTTGGGACCCTTTCTTCCTGCCAGATTGCCTTATACAGCCTAGTCCCACTACAACTTGATGTTCCATGGCTGGCTGATACCCATGGGATGTCCACCTATATCTGAAGAGAAACAGTGGAGGAGTGAATGGGGTGGGGGAAGGGAGAAACTGGCAAGAGGGGAGTGAGGGGAACCTTTGATTGAGATGTAAAAAATGAAAAACAAACAAGCAAAAAGACTCAGTTAAATACTACATGTGATACTTACTAGTGTACCTGGGACAGTACATCTCTTGGAGTACAATATGTTTCGTTTGGCATGTATATGCGGCAGCCCATAGACACCTATCTGATGTTATTTTATATAGTCAAATCAAGTATTTCAGCTGCCACTAACATACAGCAGAGAAATTATCTAAGATCCACAGATCAGACTTACCTAAGGCAGGCTACAAATTCAGCAGAGGAATGTGGCCATGTAAACTCGCATCCTATACTTTCCCTCAAGTGTCATATTAACTGTTAAAATACAAAATGTCATAAGTGGATCATAGGAAGCTGAGAAGAATTTCCCTTCTAAAGAGCCTTATTAGGAGTCACACCATCATTGCCTTGGCAGTCATGGTGGGACCCTGAAGGAAGGGAGTAGACCTTCATGTCAGAAGAAGAGCTTCATTAGGAGAGACAGCTGTCATGGATAACATGACAGGGGCCCTCTAGAAAGAGACAGACTGCTCAATTCTGAAGGACAAAGGGAGTCTTGCTGTTATAGGTTTTGGGAGGGTGTCCACATCACAGAATCTAGCCTCCATGCCAAGTCACAAAACAAAACAAAAATAACTGGATAAAAGTAAGGTTATAATTCATGGTTGTCATGGGCTTAGGTGTCAGGGTATCTGGGCTTACCACTGCAAAGGGGAGGGAGACTGAAAGGCTACAAGCAGGCTTGCTTAGCCACTCTAGCCAGAGGTCTTCAGAGACAGGGGGCATAGCCTGATCTTTGGTAGACAGACAAAGTGACAGCTTGGAGGATCTGTGAGCTAACAAAAGAGCCTGAGAGGCTTCATAGTAAAACACTTGCTGGGCAGGTTTAACTCACTTTTCTGATACATTGCATCTCCTAATATACATGTTAGAACTAACAAATATTCCTAGGACCATATTTGTAGAGCCCAAAATACCCTCCTGGAAACATTTCTAAGGTGCACAACTTAAAGGGGCCTAAGTCACTGTGGGCATAGGAAAC